ATTGTCCTTCTTCACCCCGTATGAAGAAAACACCAAAGCTCCCTTAAGGGGGTTGAAAAGCTGTCTCAGTCTGCTCTCTATTTGTAGAAGTTTGAAGCCCTAAAGATCACGTTAAGTCTTGAATATTTACAGACTATTTTAATCCAAGCTGGGGATTCTCTTGGTGTTATAACCCTCTCAAAACTCAAGTTGGCTTTTTATTCATTTGAGTCTATTCAGCTCTAAGTGCAAAGAGCCACCCTCATCATTATTTTCCAGACTGGCCTCTTCATCTTTCTCAAGACTTAATTTCAGACATGAGCTTATCCAGCTTCTGCCATAGAGCATATCCTTAGTCTTTTTCCATAAGCTATGAAAATATTTACTAGGCATCACATAGATAAGCAAAAACACCAATGGCCTCACCCTTGATTTGTTCTTTGCCTCTTGTCTGAGTATTAATTGGATCTTGCTGCTCAAAGCATTTTTCAATATTATTTTAGTAATTGATGACGGGAAACAGTTCCATCTTTTAACACTGATGAATAAAAAATATTAGGAATATTCTTCAAATGCAATCATTACCTTTTTATATAATTTGTAAAATATATAATGATATAAAATTCTAGTATAAATTCAGTACATTAATTTATACTTTATTCATCATCATGGAATCACACATACATGTGCAAAGTATAATTTATTCTTTCTGCAGAATATGCTTGATGAGAACATGGACTTGAGAACACGTTTCATTAACTCCACAGACTCAGAGAGGCCAATGGTGCACATTTTAGGATCCACAAATCTAGTTAATGTTTTCTCCACATGCAAGAGTGATGGTCATGGTAGAGTCTGCTCCTGGATCCTGACTCACAGTTTGATTTTCTTTCCACCCAACAGGACCACACTGCACTATGGTTATATACAAAGAAATTCATAATGATTACCAAGTATTATTTTGAAACATATGAAATTGCCAATAATTGACTGCTTTTGACCTTCAAAAACCTCAATTGCATAGAGTGCAACCTAATATTGCAGTCTTTTCTCTCAGGTGTTTTGGAGTTTAGATCTTTTTCCCTTGAGTCACACTTTTCAACATGTGAGGGGTATCACAAACAATTTTGTTGATTCACGTGATTATTTGGTACCCGTAAGTAGGATCAAACAACATTGAATCACATTAGTATGTTAGGATACATTTCTGAAATTGGGAGCGCTATGAGAATCAGTGTTATATATGGTCATTTATACCAATTTCCCTACGGAGGGGGTTCCTGATTGTAATTTTTTACCTAAAATCAACACAGAATTAGAGATTTCTTGTTATTTGTATTGATTGTCCGAGCATTCTTTTGAAGCACTGTGTTGATAGACATAGCTTGGCCTAGATCACTCACTCCCCTAACACTCACTCACTGCCACCCAAGTAAAATGTCATACCCAGCCCTTACTCTAACTCCCATGTTTGCTCAATCTTTAGAAATAATCAAACTATCTGCTGCAAAGTTGAGGAGAGTATAAATCTATTCACCTAGAAAAAGACACCAATGTGGATTATTTTTAAATTGCCATGAGAGACTCAGAAAAAAGCAGGATGATTGAAGATGTACCAAGGTGTACTTGCTCACAATTCATGTAACAAATGGTAATAAAATAAACAGTTCTGGAGTGGGAACTATTGCAATTGTTTTTCAAATGTTCTGTTTATGTTAATGAGAAAGACTCATATTAGGTTGAACTATATGCAGTGGAGGTTTTTGAAGGTCAAAAGATGCTCTTCTGCTTTTCACATCATTCTAATGTTGACTGACACTAACCAAAAAAACAAGTGTTATCCTAAGAGGTTTTGTGGGCAACAGTTCTTGGTTAGAATATAATAGCGCCATTTAATTTGTTTTTATAATTACTCCCTATCTTTGCAAAATAAGACTGATTTTCTACTTATATAAAATAACATTTATTTTAAAATACATATATTTAAATTAAAAAGGTAAGTAAAATTAAAGAAAAATATTAAGTAGTAATAATTCAAGTGGTACAGAAATTACTAAGGTTTGAGAAATCTTATTTATAATATGTCTCAAACCCAGTGCGTTTCTCAGCAGGAGTGGTTTGCCTTTTAGGAAACAATTTGAAATTTTGTGTGAACATTTTAATTGTAATACTACAGGAGTTTAATGGGCAGCAACCAGGGTTTCTAGAAGCCCTACAATCCATGTAATATTTCTATCCCAAAAGAATGTTCCACTAGACATTCATATAGGTGAATCTTATGTTTTGTTTTGTCTTTATAAATATTTTTAAAGTAAAATTCAAAAATTTAATTACATAGCCTAAAACACTTTACAAATGAATACAGCTGTGTAACTACTACCTAGAACAACATAGAGAACATGACCCCTATCCCAGATATTTCCTTCGTGTTCGCTCAGTCCTTCTTTGCCCCCAGAGTTAACAACTATTCTGACTTCTCTCACCACAGATTAGTTTTGCCTCTTTTGATCTTCACATAAATGAAATCATTCATTACATACTCTTTTATGATTATCTTCTTTTGTTTAACATTACGTCTGTGAAATGCATCCGTATTATCGTATGTAGCAGTGGTTTGTGTAATTTTATTGCTATAGCATATTCTATTGTATAAATATACCATCAATTACCGTTCTAATAGTAATGGACACACGCCTTGTTTTCATTTGGGGCTGCTATGAACATTCCTGCACATGACTTTTGTGAACATACAGACTGCTTTCTGTGGAGTATATACACCTGGGAGTACAATTGTTGGGTCACAGAGTAGGCTTATGTTCAGCTTTAGTAAACCTTGCCACAGAGTTTTCCAAAATGATTTTACCAATTTACAACCCCATCAGCAATGTATGAGAATTCTGTTGCACTATATCCTCACTTGGTATTGTTAGGTTTGGGTTTTTTTAAACCATTTTTATGAGTGGATACATTTAATTTTAAGCATCTGAGACTAGATGCTATTGATTATAAACAGTAGTATATGTGCAAGGTTTTAATATTAACTGATTTTGTTTTTCTGGAATTCAACTATTACACAAATGTGGGGAAGATTGTACTCTATTTTAAACTTTGCCAAGAGATGTTCATTCTCTCAGAAAATTATATCATTGATGACAACATCACTCATGGTCCTTGAGTCTGTAATAAAATCAACATACCCATATCAGTTTGCCTTTGTAGCTGCCACATTCAGAATGCTTTCACATAGAAATAACAACTATGGAAATGACTATTCATTATGTGTACTAGTGTTTATTATTGTGCGTCTTTGAGCATTTACATATTGAAGTACATATTATTTCATCATAATTTTTTTCTTTTATTGTTCTTTATATTGTAGTTAGGACATTATAATGATACTTTTAATTAGCGTATAGTTAGGTTATTATATACACACATGTATATGTTTATATTTCAGGATAGTAAAGAGGAATTCACAAATTATTTCTTATAAAAATGATATGTTGGTCTGATAAGGTTGAGAACTACTGCTCCAACAAATGAAACTGCCCCCTTTGAATTGCAAATCGTTTGAGGGTAGAGGAAATGGGGGAAAAAACTGGGATGTCCAGAGGAATCCTGTGAATTAGTGTTTTTCGAAAAATAAAATTCTATTGCTAACTCACAACGCACAGCCACTTCCTCCATTTTCAGGCCTCAGTTATCCTCTGCCCCACTTCTCGTCGTCCTTTGCAATCCACCCAAAAGAACACATGACGCCCTATGGACAGGGGCTTCAGTAGCTCCTCTACCACTAGGAATAATTGTCACCCTTGCCCACTCACCAATATGACTTGAAACACCTCTTTTACACACTCACTTTTTTGCTGCAAAAATGGTATCTCTTTAGAAACAGCATTTTGTAAAAGTAAGAACTTGCTCTATTATAATCTCAGAACGTGTCACATGAGATCAGAGTCAGAGGTGATATGAGGCCTTTAAATCTTCTAGGTGGCTCCCCACCAGTAACAACTTTGTCAAAACATTTTCTCTTTCTTAAAAAAAAATGCATACTAAATATTCTTAACTTGCTTTAAATAGCCATGCCCATGGAAAGTCTGCCTGATGTAACATAGAAAATATGGGCTGCAGGTAAATCCATTAGTCTTAGAAAAATGACCAATGGCAGAAGCCCTGGTGAAGATTTCATTATTTTGGTTATCACAGCTGGGTGATGCTCATGCAGGCACATATATATTTCTCAGTAAAACAGTGGAAAGATGGCAACCTAGCCTGGAAATTTCCAAGAGGAGCGAGAAAGAGAGATCAAGAGGAATCAGTGTAAGCAAAACTGATGTTGCAGACACAGAAGTAGATTGGTCCCCTGGGGTCATGTAATTTTCTTAATACATAAAGCCTTGGTTATACAGAATAAAATTAACCACCAAACATTAAATTTACCAGGAACTTTTCTATACTTGATTTTAGAGAACAAGAGTCGAATTACACAAAAATAAACAAAAAAAAAGGAAGAGTTAGCAGAGTAATTTTCTGCCAGTGACAAGAATGAAGAAATCAGGAGGCATGGTTATCAAATTTATACGTAATACAAAACTACGAGAAAGAACTAAAATGATATAGTAAAACAGAATTGGGATCAAAAGTGGTCTCGACAAGCTGAAACTCTGGACCAATGGTTCTCAAGTCTGGCTGCACATTATCAGCAGCTGGGGAGCTTTAAAAGACCAGCCATGCCTGGGAACTACCCTCAAAGATTCAGATTTAATTAGTCTGGGTCAGGGGTCAGGCATCAATAGTTTTTAAATGCTCCCCAGGTGATTCTAAAGCATTGTCAGGGTTGAGACCACTGCTTTAGATCATGCCAAAGTTCATTCTAACACAGGGTCAGATGCCATTTATTGTCAGCAGTGGTGGGCAAGTGATCAAGAGAAAAGCAACACAGCACAGGCCTAACTGCTGCCTTAGAATGGAAAAAATGGGGGAGAAGTCAAGATGGCAGCGTAAGCAGACTCTGAATTCACCTCCTCCTGCAGACACAGCCAATTTACAACTAATCGTGGAAAAATCACCCCTAAGACAGAACTGAAAACTGGATAAGAGGAACTCCTGCAACAAAGGACAATACTAACTGAGATGGAAGAGAAAGAAACTCCCTTCTGGAGAGAAAAAACGCCGCCTTCACAAGCCGCAGCGCCTCATGGCCGCCTGGGAGCAGCCCAAAGGTCCAGAGCCTCCCTGGAGGAGCCAGGCCCTGAGCTGGGGAGCACCTCCACTGGGGGAATTTTGTGGACCCAACACAATCGAGACGAGTGGCATAATATCTGACTTTGCCTGCTACTAAAACATTGGGGAGTACCTCCAGAAAAGCTGGTTCACAAAGAAAATAAAACCAGCCCTTAAAGGGCCCAAGCGCAAACTCACCCATTTCAGAAAGCAACCTAAAATCACCAGAAAGAAAGGTGCACAGTGGTTTGGTGAAAAGAGACTCACCTGATAGGCTATGAGTGCATTGCAGTGAGAGGTGAGACCTCTCCAGGGACTGGGACATTGGCAGCGGCTATTGTTGTGGCCTGGTGTGGGCGTGCTGACACAGATGCCATTGGAGTTCTCCCTGGGGCCTGCTAGCCCAGATCTGCCCCACCCACTAGAGCATCAATTTAATCCAGCTCAGCCAGGACAGGCAGCCCACCCTAGGGACTAGCCCCACCCAACAATAAGCCCTCAGGCAACTTGTGGGCCTGCATAGATTGGTGACTGGATTCTCTGCAGCCTGGCGACTGAACCCACTTCAGTGGGGCAGGGTCTGCACAAGGAGCGGGTCAAGAGTGTGGGGCAGTGGTGGAGTGCGTGGGGCTCCCACCGTGGAGAGATTGGGTCCACTTCAGGGGGTCAGGGCATGCACACGGGGCAGGACTGTGTTGACTGTGTGTGTGGACCTGTGGGCGGCGGGGCTTATCAGCTGCAGAAGACTTGTGCTTCTCAAAGACCCACATAGGGGGTTTGCCCCACCTTCCAAAGCTTGAAACAGTTGGGTGCTCCCATGCCTGAGGCCAGCCCCACCCAGCTGCAATCCTCAGAGAGCTGACAAGAGACCTAAAGCCTGGAGGCCTACAGCAATTGTAAGGCCCTGAGCCTAACAACCTGCCACGCTGGGGGCCTACTCACTTAAAAGAAATACTGCAACACAATGTGGTATTAGAACTTGCAGCCAACTGTGCTGGGGCTCCCCACACCTGATAAAGAGACTGAAGGGCCCACAACAACTACAAGCAGCTGAGCATTAGAACAGATGGCCAGGAGCATACCTCGGCCTCCCTGGGTGCCTACAGAGAGAGCAAACAGGCCACAACAGAAGGACACATGTAGCCCACATAAGGGTCACCCCTGAAACATTGAGAGCTGAGGGAAGCACACTGCAGACCTCCTAAGGCATCACTTATATAAGGTCACCTATATAAGGGACAACTGGGACAACATCAAGCACACTAACATCTGTGTTATAGGTGTCCTGGAAGAAGAAGAGAGAGAAAAAGGGACAGAGAATCTATTTCAAGAAATAATAGATGAAAACTTCCCTAACCTAAGGAAGGAAACAGACATCCAGGTACACGAAGCACAGAGAGCCTAAACAAGGTAAACCCAAAGAGGCCCACACCAAGACACATCATAATCAATATGTCCAGAATTAAAGATAAAGAGAGAATCCTAAAAGCCACGAGAGAAAGACAAGTTACATACAAAGGAAATCCCATAAGGCTATCAGCTGACTTCTCAGCAGAAACCTTACAGGCTAGAAGAGAGTGGCATGATATATGTAAAGTGCGAAAAGGAAACAACTTACAGCCAAGAATACTCTAGGCGGCAAGGTTATCATTCAAAATGAAAGGAGAGATCAAAAATTTGCCAGACAACCAAAAATTAAAGGAGTTTGTCACCAAGAAACCAGTGCTACAAGAAATGTTAAAGGAGCTGATTTAAGGGGAAAAGAGAAGACTGCAAAGAGGAAAAATTATCTATTTCCATGATAAGAGGGTAATGGATACAAATGCACAAAAAAGAGGTTAGATATGATAT